CAGAGCCAGAAGTGAGTCCAGAGCCTTGGATGGTGGCAGCGGGAACCCCAGGCTAGCGGGTGTGCTCCAGGGAAGGGGTCGGCCGGACGGGAGGCACCCTAAGGAAGGCACTCGGAGCCTGGAAGGTGGTCGGCGCAGGGAGGTGGGCGGCTCAATGCAGGAGCGCCCCCTACTGGCCCGCCACACAGGACACATCCCTGTGGGGGTCTTCCAACCCCAGGACCCTCCTATGGGGACCCAACCAGCATTGCCAGAGGGGGCTAATAGGCCTTTCTCTTGTGTGCTTTGTCACCTGCTGGTCTTAGGGGGTCTGCTCTCCCGGTAGTGTTTCAGGGAGACACTTGCAGGCTGCCTTTTTCTTCCCTTCACACCTGTAACCTCCCATTTTGGTCCCTTTTCTCTCCCTGCAGAGCGACTGCCCCAGCCCACAATTCCCTGCAATGCCCAGAGCTGTGTGAATGGACCCTTGAACATCGCCCTGAGCTGCACCATCCCCAACGAAGGCAACAAAGTGATCTGCAACTGGAGCCCCATCCCCACTGCACCCCAGGGCAACTACTGTGGGTCAGCACCAGCCACTTCCCCCTGCCTCTGACCCTCTGCCTTGCTCTAGTTCCAGCAAATCTGCCTGCCCAGGTCTCCTGGCTGTCCTACTGCTAGGCCAAGAAGCTCATCCTGCTGAGGGTGCTGGGGATGCTAATCACCAGGACCATGGTGGGGCACACTGTGGCTGGAAAGCAGCCAAAACAGGTCTGAGCAGGACCAAGCCAACCGGCACTACTCCCCTCTGGGAGGGACTGAGGGAGGTGTTTGCCTGCAGCTGCAAAGGGGTTCCTTTCCAGTCTCCAGCATGGACGAGAAGCAGCTGGTGAGTCTGTGGGGGTCCAAATCCCAGCACCCAAGGCCAGTCCCTCCTGCATCCCCCTAGCACTGCAGGCACATGGGCACCCTAGAGCAGATAGTCCCCTACAGCTGCCTCCTCCCCGCCCAGTGGGGCCTGTAGACCCCGGCCCCAAGACTGCAGGGCACGGACTGGCTGGGTGCAGGGGCCCACAGACCCAGGCAGCACAAACTGATGCTGCCTAGGAGTGGCCCGTGCTTGGCCCCTCATCCAATGCAGCGCAGCCCTTACTGGCACAGTGCAGCGAAGCCTCAGGACCCAGGAATTCAGCTGCTTCATAGATCCAAGACTGGCCCAAAAACTGCAGAAGTCTGCCCCTTTCCACCCTCTGCACTGACTGATGGTGCTTGGGTGGGGAGGTTCCAGCAGCCCAGCACCTAGGACCAGCCCTTGCCAGGGCATAGCTTCAAGCCCTGGCACTCAGGGACCTGGTGTCCTGTTCTTGATGCCAGTATCTGATCCCACCTGGACTAGACAGGCTGGAGGTGTGGGGGCATAGTGGTCAACGCCCATCCCCCTGGCCCCACATCACTACGGAGTGGTCAAAAATTGGAGGAAAAGGTCGTGCAGTGAGCTAAGCTATTTCTTGCACTGCCCTGGGACTGGTGCCTGGCATGGGGAGCTTGTGTCCTTGCAGCTGTATGTCCCTGGCCCGGGAGAGCTGGTCATGGCTGGGGCTCACCCTAGAGTGCTCCTGGCATTGCTCCTCTCCCATCCAAGGAGCCATGAGGGGCAGCTGCATCCGAAGACATAGAGAGGGGCAACCAAGTAGACTGAGATGCCCAAAGACAATCTGCCAAGGCGCCACACACTATCAATCACTTCCTATGACTCTGCTCCTTCACCAAGGAGGTGTGGAAGAAGGTAAAGCAGCTGTGTGAAGCAGTGACAGGGGTTGGACAGCTGTGAAGAGAGGCAGTGCTGCATGGGCACCTGACTAAACCCCAGGGAGCCTGTCGCATACTTCCATCAGTTCATGTCCTGCGTCAGGAGCGCTCTGTGGAAGTCCAGGCACCTCCTGAGGTACAGGCACACGAACCTCGAGGTGGTAGACCGTGTTAAAATGGCTTTGAACAAACTCCAGTGCTACTACTAGAAACTGGTAGCAGAGGACGGTGAGGATGCAGCCAAATCCATCTGGCAGGGGGACACCTGGAACAGGAGCTGACAAGACCCTGGGGAAGGAAATAGCAGCAGCAAAGCAGAGGTGGAGACAACCATGACCGCAGCGGTGGGTCCTCCTGCGAAAGGGACAGCGAATAAACTGAGTCTCAAACCCCGTGTTCAGGGACTGGACTGAGACGGGGCTGGAGGGAGACGATGCCTTGAGACCCCTGCGTGGGAGCGCTATTCTGGGGTGCCTCTATTATAACGGTGCGCGGGCTTTCTACTGGTGGGTTAAGGAGGTAATGAACAGCGACTACAAGGTGTGTATATACATAACTTTATAAATATATGAGATAGTATTACAACAAACAATAAAAAAAGCTGCAGCCTCTGAGTACGTTCCTCCTCTGCAGGTCTGTGTGTCTGAACCCTGCCAGGATCGAGCCTCCTCCCCCATCCGCTTGCACCACAGACCTCAGGGGTCCTCCAACCTCCCTTCGTGCCGGGCTCTCTGCTGCCCCCGCCCTGGGTCCCTTTTCAAGCAGCCCGGACCAGGGCACTGGGGAAGGGGCGTGGATGTTATCTGCCGTGCGGGTGCTCGGGGCTGTCTGGCCGGCAGATCCGGGCGGGCTGTGGGTCCGTCGCCGCCGCCTCCCG